ATACACATTTGCCGCCTTCTTCCTCGTCCTCTGCCTCGTCGCCTTTGTCGTGCAGACCGAGTTGTCGGCCTACGTTCAGCAGGATCTCGGCTGGAACAAGGCCTACTGCATGCTCTACCTCACGCACGGCTCGTGGTCCCTGCTCTGGCCCGTACAGCTGCTCTGCCTGCGCATCCAGCAATACAACGTGCCCTGGGCCACGTTTTGGCGCCGCCATGTCGGCCTGCTCCGCAGCACCTCCATCATGGTGCAGACCCAAGACCTCGACTGGTCACGCCCGTCGGCCGTCCCGCGGCCCTCGGCACTGGCCTATCTCGTGCGCACCACCGTCTTTGTGACCATGGCGCTGACCGTGGCCGGCCTCTCGTGGTACGTCGCCGTCGATCTGACGACGCCTTCCGATCTGACGGCCATCTACAACTGCTCGGCGTTTTTCGCCTACGTTTTTTCGGTGCCGCTTCTCAAGGAGCCCCTGCGTCTCGACAAGTCGATTGCCGTCATCGTGGCCATCATCGGCGTGCTCGTCGTCGCGTACGGCGACCAAAAGGCACCCGAGGCCGGCGCCGACGATGGCGGCGCCGCGGCCACCAAGGCCGCCGGCGAGCGGTTCCTCGGCAACATGGTCATCGGCGTGGGGTCCGTGCTCTACGGCCTCTACGAGGTGCTCTACAAGCGGTGGGCGTGCCCGCCCGAGGGCTGCGCGCCGCTGCGCGGCGTCGTCTTCGCCAACACGTTCGGCTCGTGCATCGGCCTCTTCACCCTCTGCGTGCTCTGGGTGCCGCTGCCGCTGCTCCACTGGACGGGGCTCGAGACGTTCGCGCTGCCGACGGGCCACACGGCGTGGATGCTCTTCTTCTCCGTCATTGCCAACGCCACGTTTGCCGGCTCGTTCCTCGTGCTCATCAGCCTGACGAGCCCCGTGCTGTCAAGCGTCGCGTCGCTGCTGACCATCTTCCTCGTCGCCCTCACCGACTGGATGGTCACGGGGGAGCCGCTCAGCGGCGCCGCCATGCTCGGCGGCTTCATGATCATGATTGCGTTTGGCATGCTCAGCTGGAGCACGTGGCGCGAGATGGCCGAGCACGAGGGCCACAAGCCTGTCGATATGACGGACAGCGGCGACGACAGCGACATGGAGCGCGAGGACTAGATACGGCAGGCAGACAGGCAGGCAGGCAAGGGAAAGGACTGCATGGGTACATTTGGCGTTGGGATGTGTTTATCGGTTGGAGTTTGAGGGACAGCTGCATGTCACAGAGGGCTCTATGGGTCCGTCGGGTGCGGAAGGAGAGACACCCCGCGCCATCATATTTGTGCATTGCATAGTACGGGGAACACTTCTGGGGCCGTGAGAGGCGTCCGGATCATAGACATACATGACTTGAGTGCGTACAGCCATTTGTGGCTGTGCTGGAACCATGGCGGGTTATTCTTCGGCCCAACACCATGATCATCATCACATACAGTCGAGAGTCAAGTTTGTTGTCTTGTGAAATGACTGCCTGGACATCATCCCGACGGCACATGAGCACCTGACAGAACAGGTTCGAAGTTGTATTGACATGTCCCAGGATAACAACACAAAAGGGTATCGATTGCACCAAAAAGAAGGAAGAGAAAAAAGAAATTGCGCCAGAGACAGGTGCTACGCATTCATCGGCTGCGGATTGTTTCCCACCGTCTTGTAGAGCTTCCAGCTCAAAGGCATCGTGCCCCCCCTCGGGCACCTCGCCGATGACACGCGCGGGCTGGCCGCCGACGATGCTGAAGCTCGGGATGACCATGTTGGGCGGCACGACGCTGCCCTCGAGGACGCGGACGTAGTCCTTGATGATGGCAAACTCGCCAATGACGGCGCCGTGGCCAATGTAGACGTGACTGCCCACGGTCGCGGCCTGCACGACGCTGCCCTGGCCGACGAAGACGTGGTCGCCGAGGCGGAGAGGCATGTATGTGAAGGCGCTAAGGATCGAGTCAGCCGGTCGTCCGTCTGTCTCTTTCGCTTTCTTCTTTCTCTGCAATCGGATCGGAAAACAGCGGGGTCGGGGAGGGCGCACCCCTTTGTAGACTCGCCCTGGGGGACGCAGGATGCAGCCGCGGCTCAGGAAAGCAGTAGCGGCCCGATGGCGACGGCCGTGTTGTTGGCGGGGGCGCTGCCGCCCCGAGGTGGAGGAGGAGGAGCTGGAGGGCGCGGTGCGGGCGAGGTCGCCGCGGATCATGACATCGG